ACACCCTTCAAGTTTTTTTGATTTTTACGATAGAAAGAAGCATCGAAAATTTTCAGGGAACACATATTCCTGATCGCCGTAAAATTCTCTATCGAATGGTGTCTGAAACATCGAAAAAAAATTTTTTGCTCGAACCTTGCTTTGCGTGCACCTTACAATTTCTATGAAATGTTCTGTGCATTTTACGCATCTCGAAGCTCCATAATCAAATTACTTATACTTATAAACGTCAACTTCGAAAAGCATTCCTATTAAAATGCTTTTGATATTTTTACCGTATTTTCTTCAACAGAATTTAAAATTTTATTTTAATTCATTTCAAAACATTTTCCCAATAATTTCAATTCTTACAGTTAAAAACTAGAACTGATGCATACCTAATCATAATCTTTTCTCCTGAGTAAAATTTTAAAGAAAACATAAATGTGATGGATGAAATATTTTTGATGCTCTATTACCTGGAAAAGGTCGACGATTGCATTTAGATACATTTCATTTGTCGGTTTATTATTACTTTGATGCGTAACAGTTGCTTTACTCTGACTGTAATTATCAAGTATATCTTCATCTGAAGATGGTTTACTATTAACAAATGTTTCTGCTATTGTACCTTCGGGCATCATATTAATAAACTGATGAATTGGTGTTACTTTTAATGCTTGTAAATGTTGATGATGATGATCAATACTCATTACGGATATATCTTTATCACGAGATGTTTCAATAAAACTATCACTTAAAAAATTTTGATTTATTTCATCTTGATTTGTATCTAATGTTTTTATTGGCCATGGAAGAGAATAGGCAGCTCGTAATTTTTTTGCTTTAATAATTCGTCCTCCTTTAAGTGCTTCATTAATTTCATTTCTTAAACGTTCACGTATTATTAATCGATGTTCTTGAATTCCTTCAATTTCCCAATCATCTGCATTTTTATGAGATTTTATATCTGATTGTTGTCGACTTGCACGACCTTTTTTCAAAAGAATAGTTGCCATTTCACGTAGATGAAGTTTAATGGCTAATAGATATGGTGTAAGACCATTTTCATCTGGAATATCAACTGAAATACTATAATGATTTACAACATTGATAAGAGATTCCATTATAGCCGGATTATTTGTTTCAACAGCTTGATGAAGAATTGTACGTCCACGTGTATCATATTGTCTAAAATCAATTTCACCACCAAAATAAGCTAATAATAAATTAACAGAATCTAATTGTTGACGATAAATAGCTTCATTAAGTACAGTATAACCATAATTATATTCACGTTGAGTAGGATCAAGATCATTATCTAATAAAAATTTTAACATTCTTGTACGTTTAATTGGTTCTGAAATATCCAAAGCAATAAATAATCCATTTCGACCATCTTTTGTTTTAATATTTAAATCGTAATTATGACGAATATATAGAGCCAATTGTTTATATTGATTATGTCGAATAGCATCAAGAACTTTGGATATCATTGTTAATCAATTGTATAGTTTTACTTTAACAAAAATATTTTCTATTTAGTTTTGTTTTTAATCATAAATCTTTTTTCAATATCTGAATAGTATCAGTATGTTAAAATCACAATTGATACTAATAAATTTTGTAATTTCTCTTTCTCTTTTACTTTAGATTACTAGAACTACACTGTACACTCAATAAAAACAATATGGTTGATTATTATTTTTTGTTTTTTTTTGAAAATATGAACTATGCACTAAATATAAGTTTCATTGTTTCATCAGTGGCTAGTTTCAACAACAACGTCTTCTTCTTTTTCTATTATTATGATAGATGTATACTACTGTCTGTAGAGTCAATTTTTTCTTACCAAAATATATAGTATTTCAAATTTAAACAATTTTAACACTAAAAATTCTATTACTTTACTCTTTTTCAGTTATATGTATTTACCTTCAAATTTTCAAATATCTATTACACTTTATAGGATTTCAACTATTTAACTCAAACAACAACAGCCACTCCATACTTGACAATTAAAAAAAAAAAAAGAAATGAGAGAACAGGGAACAGAAGAAGGATGCTTTATAAAAAAAGTGATTTTTTAAAAAGAGAAAAATAAAATAAAACCATGGATATGCGTGTATTCATTGAATTTTTTTTATAATAGACGATACTTGAGCATCAAGTGTTATTACATGTACTATACATTCATTTTTTTGATGGACACATATAACAAACATTAGTTTCTTTTTTTATACCTCTTCCTCTTTTTTTATTCAACTAAATTTTTTTGTATTATCTTTAACACATATGCCAACAGAAAAGAAGAAAATAATTTCAACTTTATTCTTGATTCAATTTAATAGTTTATTGGCAAAAGTCAAGGTGAAAACGAAAATTTTTTGTTGTTGTGGTGGCGACTACTGTTGGTTATAGAAATAGTTTACAATACAAAAACACACACTTGATTTATGGCTGCTATTAATGCAAACAAACAATTAACTTCCAACATACAAGAGTATCTGTTAGAGATAACAACACATTTATATTAATTGCTAATGTTTTTGACAAATACACCACTGTTTCCTTTTTCGGAAGGAGGGGGGGAGTCAGGAAGAGCTGAATTGAATCTTTTGGCTCTTCCATACATATAATGTACTTCTAAGTTAAAATCAATCAATTGACATGAAATTTAAAAGTGTTATATATCATTATTCTTTTAACAAACTGCAGCCTTTTCAGAAACATTTTTCTATTCAATACAGGTTTTTTAAAAAAATTTATAAATCATAACCTTGTTTCAAAACTTAGCACGATTAAATCAATTTAAATGTTGTAGGTGTACGAATACATTAGTCAAATAAGTATGGATAAATGTTTCTTTACTTATTGTCTACAATATGTATATCATTTTCATTATATCGTAAATATATTGACCAAAAAAATAAATTGCTGTTTTTATGTATCGAAAAAACATTTTCACCATTGTCACTTCATAGTCCTTGATTTGTCTGATGTTATTTTCATCATTATCTATCAATTCTTGGTAAGATTACTTTAATTATGTTAAAAAAAATTCTATTTTTATGAAAAACATTCTTAGAAGAAGTAACGAGAACCATCTATAGTCTATCATGTTTCATCAACTAATTTTAACCTATTTTATCACCATTTTTTCAAAATCTATCGCTCTTTTAACAACATCGGACTATCGTGTATCAACTCGTAATATTACCTGTGCAAATGGATCAAATATAGTCTTTAGTAAAAAATGTGAAGCATGTCTCATTGTTACTCGTAATTATCGTATTGATACTCAACTCTCTCTGACTGGTAATGGTCCTGAGGGCAGTTCCTATTATTGTCTTGATATTAAACAAATTGAAGGTTATCATAATAATTTGGTACGTGAATGTTATGATTATCCATTAGATAATCTAAATGGTTTTAATGATTTTTGTATTGCATCACCATATACAACTATAAGAGGATCATATCGAGCATGTACATGTACTATAGATAGATGTAATATAAACTATAATGAATGTGTATTAAAAAATAATTTGAAAATATATGTACCATTTTTAAATACGATTCAAGAATCCGGTGCACCAATTCAATGTTCTACTGATCAAACGCCTCTATGTGATACAAAAGATTTTGCTTGTCAAAATTTTGTTAAGCAAAATTGTGTTCTCTGTTTAATAAAAATTGATAATTTAGGACAAGTGACACGACAATGTTTACCACCAAGTTTATATAGTTATTATTTGACATATACACGAATGGAAGAATGTTCACAATCAACATATTTATCAAAAAGTTTATATTTGTATAATTGTCAAAATGGTGAAACAATTTGTATGTGTACAAAAAATTATTGCGATAAAGATATGGACACATGTAGAACAAGTGAAGCAAATAAAATTAAATTAACAATAGTATTGTTGTCATTGTTCTCTTTTGTATTCATATTCTGAAATGATTATTAACTGCATATACATATATAAATTAATGAATCTTTTATTATCAAAGTCTAAATTCTTGGAAATAATTCGTCAACTATGTAAGATGAGCAAAACAAGGCTAATGTTTGTCATGTTAGTGTAGCAATAACATGAATTAGATTGTATTCGTCTTCCTTGAGTTTTTCAGACATTTAACCATCCCATTTTTTTCATGAACTGTATGATTTAACTGTACTTTTATCGTATATATGAATAATTTGTATTCGTATTGTACCGACTCATCGAGAAAAGTAAAAATGTTCTTATCTTAACTTTTCTTTTTGAATGACTTTTCAAATTGTTTTTGGCTTTTTATTATAAAGAAAACGTCAATTTTTTATCACTCTATCTTTTTTTTAATAATTTATTGTATTCTTGACACTTGTACATAAACCTTCTAAACAAGAAGAAATGAGAGAAATAAAAAACTTATTAATTTAAATTAACAAAACAGTTTTTTTATTTATTTAATGAATTGTTTCTTGTAAAACTTTATTGATAAATTCAATACTTTATTATATCTTATAACTTTAAATGATGTTTTTTTCTTTATTTTTTACTAATTTAAATCAACATTATAATGTTTTTAGAATTTACTGACATATGAATACCATATATAGGACAATGTCTTGGAAATAGTGTGTCTTGGCGTTGTACTTTACGGGTAAAAGTAGGATGATATTTTCTGTTTTCCTACAGGAACTTATCTAGTATCTTTGAAATAGTTGAAAAGGTAGGCCGGGATATCCACTATATACGGCTTGTCCACGCAACTCGAGACTTCGCTGATTAAATTTTTGAAAAAATTATTTTGGAGTAGAACTGAATGAAGCACGTCACTAGATGCAAGTTTTGGTGCTGATCACGAATTTTACATTATTCTTTTAAAAAAGTTAAATTTTGGTACAAAAAGTCCAGTTTTACATTTTTGAAAATTGGATTTTCAATTTCCTCACCTAGACATTTTTCCTAATAAAAATGAAAGGCCACATAAATCGATAGAGAATTTCATTCTCTACAAGATGGTATGTTTCGTTTGAAGTTTAGACTCAAAACAAGCTTTCTAATAAAGTTTTAAGATCTTCAAATAATTCTAAGAAAGTGAAAACATTTTTTCAGCATTATTTTCACGTTAGTCTATATTAGATGCCTAAAACTAAGTCTAATGTGAAAATGAAATCCTTTGAGCAATGTTGAGTGCTTCGAACTTTGTTGGGAAAAAAGTATGTCACAGCGTCACGTGTCGAAAAAACGGTTCTAAAAATTCGAGTCTTTAACCACATATCTTCATTTTTATACCCAAAGTAGAGTATGGCGAGCTGTGGTGAATTTCTAGCTTTTACACTTTTCGAGAATAGCTCCAATTACTGTGTCAAAAAATGTCACAGCGTCACGCTTGGACAAGCCGTATAAATCTAGATAAGCTGGCATATAGCGGATATACTGATTTTGGTTTAAACTTTAACCCTTTGAGTCCCATAGTAGCAAAAATGCTACACGTCAATCTGAATAAGCCGTATTTTCCAAAACTTTCTTTTGAAGAAACGTCCCTCAAAATTCGATCATAATCAAATTTCAAATACATCATCTTATGCAGTTTTTGACGCTCTATCTTTTGATGTATAATACATTTGAATAATATTTAGTTCTGAGTTAGAAATC